GAATTGGGGCTCGTTTGGAGCAGAACTCAATGGGTTAAAGCCGTGGCGAAGGGGTGGTTTCATCAGCCCCCTCCAGGCTTCGTGGCAACCATGATATTTCAAGCATCGCGGTTCTGGTGCGCATCCGTCCACCCCCGTCTGCCATACCGAGAGGATCCAACGATGCACAAAGGACATCATGATCTACATACGAGAGCTGTTCAATCAAAAAGCTGTCGTTGGAATCTAACGCTCTCGGATGATTGACATTTGCACTTAAGTATATGTATTGCAAATGTCATCATAGGATTTTTTTGTTGACGGCTAATAATATACAGGGCACTTTAGATATTTTGGCTTTGCTTGAAACGGAATATGTTGCAGTAGGAACGAAAACGTTGCACGCTTTCGAAAGGCGTGTTCTGAAACGTGCACAGTGCCTTTTCTACACGAAGGCGTTTCTTCAGCTGTCTGGTGCGTACCACATATGTCGGGTTAAGCGAACACAGTTCGAATGTTCACCAACGAGAGTGCAGTTTTTTGGGTTTATAAAAGCCGGATACGTTGAGCTTGAAACGAGAGCGTTTTCTCAACGACATCGTTTGATCAGCCTCATTGCGCGGGGACGCGCTTTAGTTTTTTTAGTGCGAGCTCCGCTACCAGTTTGCGCAAACTTTCTGCCAAGCTGTGCCCTCGCAGTTTCACTCGAACGGCTAACAAGACACGGTGGCATGCTTGCATGCTTGTCCCACGCACAGAGACACCCACATATATATATATACACACCACACACACAGATATATATATATATATGGAGACACACACGCTTGTATTATATATTCTATTTTTTGGGGGTGTGAGTTGGCATCGTTCAGCAAGAGAGAGGGAGAGAGGGAGAAACAGGAGTTAGCAGCAAAAAAAGGTTTCCAACGTCGTTTAAAGCGAGCGCCCCACGCTTCATGCAAAGTGCGCGGTGTCAACACAGTTGCTCAGATTAGTTCACCTCATGACCTTTCTTTGCAACATGCATGACATGTCACTTCTCCACGCTCGCCCCTGGTCCATTGATGGCCCACAGAGGCCGGGTTTTCCACTCTCCGCCAGGGTCCAGGGTGTGGTGTCATCTGGCGTCTCGCCAGCGCAAACTCAAGAACAACACATACCTTTGGAAAAGGCGACCGGCCATGCTAGCTGCATGACATCGGATACCGATTCGCTTCAAGTATCCCAAGAAGCTCTCATCACTAAAGCAAGACATGACCTTTCTTCCATTCAGTCTTGTTCGTGAAATTTGTTCACGAAGGTGGTCCAACTGATGGTGCTTGGGGCGAAGCTTAAACAATTTTAAATCTTTCGCCCTGCATTCATAGGCCAGATTCTGCCAAGCGATCAGGTGCAACTCTAGGCAATCGGAGACTTCCTTCAGGGATCCCAAAAAAACTAGTAGCGGTAGTATAGTGACAGCTCGTAGTAGTTAGTAGTCAGTAGTAGTAGTTCGTAGCTAGTAGTATAGTTAGTAGTAGTTGGTAACTAGTACTAGTAATAGTGGTGGTAGTACTAGTAGTTAGTAGTTAGTAGTTACTAGGTGCTAGTTAGTAGTAGTAGTAGTAGTAGTAGTAGTAGTAGTTGTTGTTGTTGTATTCATTGGAAAGATGCACCCCACACATGAATTGAGCCTTCGCCTCTTGCTCGCTGAGTATCAGTTCACAGTGGTCCATTATGTACACAGCACGGTGGAGGTGCCAGATGCACACAGCAAGGATGCGAAGGATCAAGTCCTAAGCCAGTGCCAATGAAAGGGGTGCCACGAAGTGGGGCTGACAAACCAGCACTTAAAAGGGGTCACCCGACCATGAAAACAGATTGAAACAAGAAAGGTTCAGTCGGGTTCTTCTGGGATATCTCGATAGCTTTCCGCGTGAAAAACCAGGAACATGCCTTCACAAAGGCAGCCTTGAACATTGATCCAAGCTCCGGGTATTGGGATGCCTTGTCAAGGTGCGTGTTGGCTGGAGTAAATGTTTTGCAAGAGAGCTTGATCCTCGGCTGGGTTTGTGTGAACCCTGAATTTGTTTTGCTTTCACCCTGAACACCGTATGCAGCGGGCCAAACCCTACACACAAAAAACCATGCCAAGTGCAAGGTTCCCATTGTCTTTGCAATCCTTCTTGAGCTCAATAGAAACCCTCCGGAGTTTGTCGGTCAAAGTGCCATCTCCCCCATAAAAGCCCTTGCGCAGCCAGTACCCTAAAGCGCTCGCATAGAGGTCTTTGCAAGTACCCAGGAACAGAACATGCATAGGGTCATGGAAGCATGACCTCAAATGCCACCCCTCTATTCTGGTCCAAGGGCTGACGACAGTCTCAAGTCGACGGTAGTCCATATCGCCTCAAGTTGATATATGAGAAACTTGAAGGCATATGACTTATGACTTGATCAATCTGGTTTCAAACTGCTCTGACTTATGTGCACATGTGCGCGGTGATTTTAGCAACTAAGGACAACACTGATAGTTGTCATGCGATAGCCAGCTGTGGGGTAGAAGTTCTTGTAAGACAGGGCTGGTGCACAAGACTTTCGTGTTTTCGACGCCAGGCAGGACTCGCAAACAAAATTGCGTTGGTACGACCTGGGAAAGTAATTTGTTTCTTTGCGAGCCTTGGCGTCATATCTAAACCCAAAATAGCAGGCCCTCCAGCCCCCACTCAACGGTGTGTTGGCCAGTTCTCGCCTGAAGCCATCCATCTCTTCACCGAAAGGCCCGTGCGATGGAAAGACGCCTGAAGATGCAGCTCGCAGAGACCAGGCGAAAACGATCGAAGCTGTTTCGTGGACCAACTTCTTGACATTGCTCTCGATCATGTGGGAGTGGGGAATGATAATGCAAGGGGACTTGCAGTCCCAGACGTGACCCTCAGCAAAGATGGAACCCATAGAGAAAACCAAGTACTCAGAGTTGCTGTAAAACTCTGCCCCATCTGTATGCAATGCCAGCGGAACCAATCCTAAGCTAGTTGAAAGAAGAGAGGATATTGAAAAACAGAACTAAAGACTCCATCATCCTACTATAACCCTTCTTTGATGAGCGTGAATCAAATGCAACTTTGGTACGAGACCTAGAGACACCTTCTCGGGAAAGGCAAGGGTGATCGCACCACTCTTCCAAACCACTGCAATGATCCCAAAACTCTCGAATGCTGCTTTCACTTCGAAATCCAGTCATCGATCGTTGAAACTGCAGGGCCAAAGAACATCTAAAAGATTTGGGCATATCTTTGGACAAACCCAGTCCTGTTGTGAACCAGCCCGCCAAACAGCATCAAAGATTTCGTGTGGCAACAGGCATGGGACGTCGATGGTCTTGGCGCCATCATCCATGTCCGGAACCTCATGCAGACTTGGGGGAAATGAGTTGTGAGAGATTGAGGAAAATGGAACAGTACAGAAAGTATTTTGTTCTGATGATTGAACCTTTGGGACATGCATTCACAAGGTCTTTCTCCCAGAAACATTCAAAAGGAAGGGCACTGTGTAGGTCTCCAATCGTGTTCCATATAGGTTTCGTGTCCAGCGATGTAGGTCTCGTTCTTGGTTACTGGCATACTTCCCATCTCCCCCCAAAGACCTCAAGGCATGCACAGCTTGAGACTCTTGTCCATCAGCGACATTGGCACGACTGATGTCGCATATCTCAGCGATAGATGAACGCCCAGATCCAATCATACCTCAGCTAGTTTTTAATGACAAGTTGTTGACACCTACTTACTACTTAGTCTTCGTGACCAAAGAGTGTCATGACCAAAGAGAGACCAGTAGTGAAACGTTGGCCTAGCTGCGAAGGTAGATGTCAGCGCTTTTGCTAGGGGCCATGTCTTCATATCGACACTGCCTGCATCATTTCTCAAAACCAATGACAACTCTTCGCACCAACGGGCGGGATCTCCAGCCTTGCCCGAAGAATTGTTTTCTTTGCTTCATGGCCTGGCCAGGAGAGTAGCGAATGTTTCAGAACATATTACATAACTATGGCGTATAGTTTGGAAGATGGTTGATGGAGAGGGCCGCAAGTCTTTTTTTTGACCACCTTGGCAATGCTCCTACGTGTCTCAACCCCACTGCAATCGTGAGTTCACCGCAGGCCACCGATTAACTGCTAAGGTGGCAGGTGCTCAACTGGAGATTGCAAACCCTGACACGGGCTATCACTTCCAAGAAGTACATACGATGAAACGGGATCATGTCGAAGATCTATCAAAAAGGTACCATCCCTGCCAGACACACACACAAAAGCACGATCACTGTTTTGGGGGTCGAGTATATTCTTTTCTGAAATGAGATAGGTCAGATAGGTTGACAGGGATGGTGGGTTGACCAGGCTGCTGAAAGCAGGCCATGTTATCACGGCTTGGCTTCCTTGGCGTCCTTCTCGCTCTCACCAGGTCCATCAGTCTTTTTGGTCTTCTTCTTGCCCTTCTTTGGCTTGAAGCTCGACAGCAAGCCTTTGGCCGCGCCCTGAAAGAGCAAGTGCAAGAGTTGGGAATCAGAAATCAGCTGGTGAGAGATTCTACAGGTGAGAGTTTCTTTGGTACAAATTATAGTATCTTAAATGCAAACTCTATATCATATCGATATGATGGAAGACCAAGACGGATATTTTTTCAACACGCAGTGGAACTTCCATGAGCCATTGTTTCAATAACATGTTTCCCAAGCCTCGGCGCTCTCATACCATGAGAGTTTGTCGGCAATCACACTGAAGAGGTTGGCATACTTTGCTTCCCTTTCTTCCTTTCTTTGCACCAGCTCAACCAGGGCTTTATAGCACTTCTCCATCTTTTCGCTGAATGCCATCATTTTGGTGGCCAAATCACCACTGTATTCAGTGGCTTGCAGGCTGATGGCATATTTGCGACCCTCAGCTGATTTTCGGAGACATGTCTCCATCTGGTCTCTTGCCTTTTCCAAAATGGTCTTTGGTTCCACCTTGGTGGCTGGTTCCCTTTTCTTCTCTTTTGGTGCTTTCTCAGTGCTGTTGCCAGCAACTGCTTCGATGAGAGCTTTCTCCCCTGCTTCATTCGGTGCACGCACTGCAGGTGTGCAGCCATTCTTTAGCAAACCCTGTTCCCCTGTCAGGTTGTCCACAAGCTCTTTGTTTCCAACTTCTTTGAAGCCCACAGAAACTCGCTCTGTGGTGATGTTCTCATCTTTGAATTCGTTTCCTTGGCCAACATAGTAGAAGATCTCTTCTTCATCGTTGGGGAAATCCTCATCATAGTGGAAAAGGTTCTTGCTTTTGAGACGCTTGATCAAGTCTTCAGCCTTTTCTTTTGGATACACTTTCAAGATGTCTCGGCGCTTCATGCCAGACCTTGTCTTCTTTGAAGTCATCTTTCTCTCGGCACGACGCTGGTACTCGACCTCCACATCCTCCCACTTTTGAGAGACTTCAAGCCACGACCGGAACAGGTCTAACTTGTCTTTGATGAAATGGGGTGCCAATGAGACTGGGAACTTCTTCCGGTCCAGACACTGCCTGCAGAATTTGTCGTACTCAGCCTTGTGTGTCACACTTGTGGCATCTTTGAACTTCCGTTCCTGCATCTCTACAGTGTCCTTGATGATGTCCTTTGGTTTATCTTTCTTTTCGCCCTCCTCCTTTCCCTTTCTTGACTTTGTTTCCTTCTTGGTCTCACCCTTCTCGCCCTTCTCACCCTTCTCACCCTTCTCGCCTTTTCCCTTTTTCTCCTCCTTGTCGCCCTTGCCATCATCTTCATCTTCATCTTCATCTTCTTCTTCACTCAACGGGCTTCCATCCAGCAGCTCATCAACCTCCCGATCAATGGCTTCGTCGTCATCTTCTCCTTCCTCCTCCTCTTGATCATCCTCACCCTCACTGGCGCTATCAGCCTCGGTCGCATCACTGTCACTCTTCATTTCTTCATTTTCATCTTGGCTTTCAGCATCTGTGTCCTCAGCCTCAGTGTCTGACACTGAAGAAGAGTCTTCACATGCGAGCCCATCTTCCTTCTCTTCTTTGCTCTCCTTCGCTTCCTCCGCCTTATCATGTTTCTTCTTTTTGCCATTCTCATCTTTTTTGCTCTCATCCTTTTTGCTCTCATCCTTTTTGCTCTCATCCTTTTTGCTCTCCTCCTCGTCCTCCTTGCCATTCTTGGACACGAGGCTCTTCATGCGACTCTCAACTTGGGCTTCCAAGAACTTGGAGCTCATATCCTTCATGAAGTCCTCCAAACTCTGGCCACTGGCTGCTGCCTCCTCCATCCAAGACTCCATGCTCTGCGCAGCAGAAGGTGCAGGCGATGGCGAAACGAGTCCTCTAGTCGTTGGCGGTGTCATCAACGGGTCTGGACTCTTGAAAGACACCCTGCGAGGAGGCCGCTTTGGATCAATATCTGGTGTTGTCTCTGCCGCTCTCTTGCTGCGCTGTGACTCCTTCTCTTCAACCTTCTTTGCAACCTTCTCTTCCTTCTTCACGTTCGTTGGCCTTTCTTTTGACTTCTTCTCATTCTTCTCCCCCTCCTTTCGCGCCACCTTCTTTTCCCGCTTTTCTTTCTTCAACTTCGGTGGATCCTCCTTCTTCCCACCCTTCGCCGCTTTCTTCTGCTTTACCTTTTCTGCCGTTTGCTTCTTTTCTTTCTGCTGCTTTGCCTCCTCTTTAGTGTTTTTCTTCACCTTCACCGGTTCACTCTTCAGTGTCTTTTCTTTTGGGGCACCTTTAGCCATGACGCAGGTGAGAGCGAGCACCAATCAGTCACTGAACCGAGCAAAACCGCTGCGCTCAGGCTCGAATTGCAGCAAGTGCAACAGAGGACAGCCGTGGGGATTTCGTGGCTGAATGCAAGACGTGGCTGAAGAGTTGAATTCGCGGCTGAACAAAAACTCTGGGTTGAACTTCTCGCAAAGATCGAACAGCAACTGATGAGTTTATATGATTAAAGTTCTTCACATGTTTGGGAGAAAGCTGAATCTACACCACGCGGCTTTTCTACACACCACGCGGCTGTTTCTCAACACCACGTGGCTGAATTTGGACCCAAAAAATGAAAAAATGTTCGACCTGTGTTCAATCTTGTGCGTACGCATTCCCTCAAAACAGAACCCCACGCAAGTGCGCCTTTCAACGCCGTCTTGAGAACAAATCTTCCCATAGCCGCCTGGCAGACGGTTCAGTGGACATGTGGCCGCTGGACCCCGCGGGGGGCGGGGTGAGGGGATGGGAGTGAAGCATCAACGAGCGGTGGGGTGTCCAGCAAGCTATATTCTTTTTCTAGCTCAAGTTTTTTTGTGTTTTCTGATTCTACATAACTGCGATCGATGACCGATGGGGGGTGTTTCGCAAGCTATGCTCTTTCTAGCCCGGGCGCTTTTCTGTTTACTGCGATTTGGACGTGGGAACCGTTCAAACCCACGCTCCAAAGCAAATTAGCTGATCATGGCGGAATGTTTTCTCACGCCAAAAAATCAAAGATGTCAACCAAGCCAGCGTGCTTCACCCAGCGCGAGTCAGCCCTGGTGTTCCTATGAACTGACCTATAGGTCTTCAAATTGTGCTTCAATGCCTCCCTAGCTTGAGAGCGCATCCGTGCTTGGTGGCGAGAACGCAGGCGAGCAAGAGCCTTTCCAAACCTTGCGGCCACAGGAGTTGCATGGAGTGGTGGACATTGACGTCAATCGATTTCTACATGGTGGGGGCTCCCAATGGCATATACTTTGAACACCTGTGAACCTGCACCCCAATTGCATATAGATTGAAACCTTTGACACTTTTAGACAGGGCACGGCACAGGGTAGGATTGTGAAGCTTTCAAGTGCTTCCCACCTTTCACCCGCTGCTGCCCTGAAGAGTCGGTGTAAAGAACTGCCATCTCCACTGGAGGCGGTGGTGGAAGGCTACGAGGCCTGAAATCCTCAATCTCATCGATAGCAGCATGACCTCACACGGTTTCCATTGAACAAGTTGCCCATTCATAGTCAAAGTGAATATACGAGAAAACCCAAACACCCACCCAATGACATTCAAGTTTACCAGATGCGCACCCTGCTGCGGCCAAGGAGCTGGCATAAAGCCATGTGGGCTTTGCAGTCGGGGCCCCGAACATCTGCATTTGTATGCAGTGCTTCCACACGGTCATGCGCCCCAGAACTTCCTGGAAGCATGGATGCAATTCCATCACACTTCCTTTGGGTTGCTCCAAGACCCAGAAGCACCGCAATGCATGTGCGATCATCAGAATCACCAATGTTCTGGCAGTCAAAAGGTTTCCAATCCTGACGCTCTCATAGGACTCTTCACCCAAAGGTCGCGCTGCGCTGCGCTTGGTAGTCCCCCTTGACCTGGGACATGGTATGTTTTGGTGCGAGGATTGATTGGAGAAGGGATCACCTGTCATGAAGGTCTATAGGCAAAAGGTAATGAATAGCTGACTAGAGACATGAAGACAAAGGAGCTGCAAACTGGGGCAGCCAGCCATCCAGATCCTGGTGTCAATCGACATGTTTGGTACACCGCTGCAATGAAACCAGGGGTTGTGGTCAAGTCCATGGCTTCGCCGCCAATCTTGATATCAAGCCCGATGCATCGCCTGCCCTCCTCCAGGCCAGTTACATACTTGTGGACACCATTAGAACACCCCCTGCAACCAAATAATATATATATATATATACATCTGTATACATAGTATATATGCAATTTTTTTATGTATATAGAAGGATTGAGCTTCAAAAAGATATGAAACACATGGTTCAATACGCAAAACCATTTCCAACCCCAGTCCATGGCTTCTCCCCTGGTGACCGAGCAATCGCCAGCAAATAGTTCCACATGCTGGAGTTCACTCTCACGGGCAAAGTCGAGGTGTTGGAGAGAAAACACCATGTTGACAAGGACTGCGATCACCTGAGCAGTCTTTTTATGGAATTATTCAACAATCCCTCTTGAACACAAGTGCCCTTTTTATTCCTGAACCATGGCCTCCAAAGACTCAAAAAGGGCACTTGTTTAAATCAACTATTTTGGGGGCACTGTTGAACGGAATCCTTGTTATGGCTGAGCTTAGCAACAGCTGGAGCTCGCATCATCCTAAGGCCGGCAACGATGCTCCTTCTTTTGACCTCCCTGTACGAATGCTTCGCACAAGGCGGGTCAATTGCAGGAGTCTGCTTCAACGCTTGCGAGTGCACCCTCTTCACGGAAGGGAGGAAACCTTTTCCCATGTTGACGGAGTGATCCCTTCTACTAATAAGAGACTGCACACCCTTTGGGCAAAATCTCATATGTATATAATGAGTTGAAGCTGCCACAAAAGCTTTTGCATGCATCGCAGATGTTTCACAAAGACGGACACCAGCATGGCGTTCATGGTTTCAACCGCATAGGTTTTGGACGCGTGCCTCACATGTAGCTAGAATCATGTATATCTTGTTTACTGCATTGAAATAGCGACGTAGCCACCTACCTCTACGACTAAGAAAGGACCAGTCGCCTCCTTTTAGACTGTGAACGCAACCGCTAGCTGCCGTTCCTATGGATAGATGTGTGCCTCGTAGCTATAGCGATGTGGATGCTTTGCATCCACCACCCAAGTGTTGCATTGTTTTCAATGCGTCTGCAAACCCCCAGATAAGCCAATGGCCCTGCAACACACCACCAACCAAGAGCGTTTGTTACCAACAAACAAACTTTGTTTCACCCTTGTGACGAGCCATGGCTTATACAAAACTGTTCAACGGATCTAAAGATCTTGATTTAAAGATCTATGGGATGACTCCTGCCCTGGTGCAAGCCACAATCCAAGCATCGTGGGGGCCGCCGTGTTTGGCCCAGGAAACTTGCCCCTTGTTGGCTCCCTTGACGTAATACGCCTTGTTGCGAAGCAGCACTTCGATCCTTGCAGCTCCTCGTGCAACGGTGTAAGAATGAAGGCCATGGTGCTTGCGATCGCTCGCGGGCCACGCTTGCCTGGGGAGGTGGTCCAGCTTGTAGCCGGCGTACTCAGGAACCTCATCAGTGGCCACATCATAAACCAAATCATGCAAGATCATCAACCCCATACTTTGCAAAACAATTTCAACATTGGAAACTATTTCGCGGTAAACCACGGCGCCTTCTTAACCGCTGGAGATGCATGGAGGCGCTGTGATTCAGCTGCAGCTCGCGCACGGGCGTTGTGCCGCTTGAAGGACGCCCTGCGCTTGGCCATGGCCTTGGGCATTCTCTTCTTTGGCTTGCCACCATCCTCATCAGCATCATCCACCTCAATCACATGAGATCTTTAAAGTCTGCGCTTCGGCGCTTCACCCACACAATACACACAACACATCCCTAAGACAAAGATTCAGGCTAGGTACCTGTTCTCCAACATCAGGGGGAGACCTGCTCAACAAGTTACGCTCGCACCCTTCAATCCATTCAGGCTTTCCAAGCAATGGGAGCTTCATGGTCTCTAGATTCGAGAAGTTGCAAGCTTCATGGTTGGGGTTCTCATGTCCCTGAACGTTCAAAGAGCTCAATAAATCAGCTGTGGCATCACCACCGCGACCACCACCCTCGGCTTCCCACTTGCCACAAACAACAGCGCCCCAAAAGCCTACACAAACATGAGCCCTGAACCCGTCCCAAGTACATTAAACTGACTCTTTGCAACAGCGAGCAACAGTTGCAGAAGAAGAAGTATAGTCAGAGTCGATCTCCTCCACGACCTCAACCTTTTTCTTCTTTTCCTGGCTCACTGCAGCGTCCATATCCAACACACGCTTCACTGGCGGCGTCTCCAAGCAATCTGCAGGAGCGACAGCACCAACACCCCTGTCGCCATTGCTCCCGCTAGGCTCATTTGGCGATGACTCATCATCGCTTTCATCACTTTCATCACCCCCTTCATCATCACCACCATCGCCCTCAGCCTCACTAGCCACATCAGCCAAAGGAGCAACATCGGCATCGCCCTCAGCCCCAAGGACAAGAGTTGTGGCATCATCAACAGCTGCGCTCTCATGATCAGAGCTTTGAGGAGAATCAGACTCACCATCATCAGCGTCAAGGTCCATGGGAGCGTCGGCCAACACCTGCGGGCGTGACAGAATATACAAGTGTCTAACGCCTTCAAAACCTTATCAGGAGTTTGCAACAGGCTACGCGTAACACCATGATAAACCAACACGATCGAATGTGGCCAAACCCATCCTCCCCAAGGTCGTCATGGGCAGCAGCCCTGCGAAGCCCCCGAAGCCCCAAAGCCGCATCCCGCCGAGCCTGTGCAGGATAGCAATGAGTATATTGTGAAGTATTGCGCCCACAAACAAATTCAAACTAAAACCAGAACGCTCAAAGAACACGTGAACTGTTGCGAGAAAGACACTGCTGCTGCCGGAGATGGCATCAGCATCCCTTTCAACTCAGACACCTTCGCGTTGTGGCTCTGAGTGCCTCAAGCAATCATGCAACTGCGTAAGTGCAAAGCACCTATGTCATTTTCCCACACGGCGCGAACCATCACAAAAACAATGTCAAAAGGTTCTAAAGCTGTTTCAACTGAAGGCACTGTTCCTGTAGAGGTAGCGCAGGGCGCCCATGAGACGTTTGCACCTCGCAGCCTCCTGAGCAGCCTGCTCCTGTTTGGTTTCGCCCTCCTTGCAAAGCAACTTGTCGTCAAAGAGTGTGTCCAAATAAAGCCAAATATCTGTCAAGATCACAGCCCCCGGCACATGGTCTGGGAAATGCGAGACCAAAGGGCGTAGAAAAACGAAGTTCTGCGCAATCTCCTGCATAGGTTTCTCACAGGTCCCCAACTTCCAAACCCTTTTCAAACAAATTGTAAAATCTATAATCTATGTTTTCCACGTTCCACCTATTATAAGGAGACTTCAACCCTGGTCCTTAAAGGATGGACGGTGCAAATCCGAGTTAACCTGGACCAGACTTGCACCAGTGAAGTCGCCGCCAAGTATGATCTCCTTTGCCCTCGAAGGCATTGCCCTCAACATGGACTTGGCGACTCCAGCCTTGGCGGAGGCGAGGGCATGAAGTGGATGGGAGATATTTGGGCCTAGAGTTTGGCAACAGCCCCCCAAAATAACAATCGATGCTAGAATCTCATGGCAGGCAGCCACAAACGCTTCGTTCCATTGCACTTTGCCTGGACCTTGGGCCACAGATTGATGTCTCTCTTTGGGTTGCCATGGTCAGAGGAGATAGTTGTTTTGTATACTTCCCAAACCGTGTGGAACCTTTCATGGACATCTCACCACAAAGGAAAAGTTTTACCACAAAGCTTCTTCTATCTTGTTCCAAGAAAGGGACGAACTGACTTCCAGGGGCTGCGCCTCCTTCCCATCTCCTCATCGAACACCGCCATGGGTCCAGCAGCCACGTCGGCCATGATGAAAACGCGGTGAAGACGCCAAAAGATACGAGAGATCCTGATCCTTGAAATGCCTTCCAAAAAGATGCCTTTTCGACATGCGTCCAGACTCAAAGACACCTCCAAACATGTCCGTGTTGCTTGACATGCCTTTGAGAGAAACCTCAAAAGACACTTCACGGCCCTTCCAAGTCCACCCAATCGGGACCCAATCGGGAAGCTGCCTCTGGCCAGGTCTTCGAAAGATGCACCGCTGAGTTCGGCGCCTCGTGCGGTGGCTGTCAGAGGGCACCACTTGATAGTCTCCCCAAAAAGGTTTTGATTGGCCGCCATGGACAACCCCGCGTTTAGATGTCTTGTAGAGTTCTTCACACTCTACAGTTTCCCTAGAAAAAGAAGCTCTAGCTTTTTAATGTTCAATGGCAAAAACTCAAGACTTGAGAAACCCTTGACTGGGAAACTGAGAGCGATGGATCTTCACTGCGATCGTTGAGAGATGTTGAGAGTCTTGAAGGGCTAACCCATGAATTTTGATTAATAGAAACCAATAGCTGTTGCTTTCTCAATGAAGTATACAGTCTCATTCAAAGAACATGGAACTCTTGGCTTCCCAGCAGCGCATGAACGGCGTCAGGTCACGCCCATCACTTTCAGAGACCCCCTGAAAGTCAACCCCCTGCAAGAACATGTAGCGATGCATGCAGTGAGCATGAGTCGGGAATGCGAAGTTGTAGTTTTGTGTTTGTCAATGTAAACACTTTGTGCACCGTAGGCCACTAGGTCGTAAGTCTCTAAACAAGGGCGCCAGTTGTTCCTGTGTCACACAACTTGCGCGCGGAAATCGCCACAGTCCTTGCTGTGATGTGAAAAACGCCGGCGAGCGACGCGGCTTCATCACATGCCAGCCATGAAAAACGAATCGCTCCAACGAAGCACCACTTCGCCAGAACCGTTGGGTTGTGGACGCAGTGGCCAATCGAAAGCTCCATTCAAAACATATTTGTTTTCAATGTCTCACGTTTAGGCCGTTTAAAAAACGCCCAAAGTTAAACGCACACACGTTCTACATGTCATAGATGTGTGTGTGTGTCACATGTGTCGGTCACTACCAACTGTTTCAAAGAACTTCTTTTTTGGGGGGAAGGCGCTGCGCAGTCATATTCGGGAGAACGCTGCGCAATCTTAATGCCAACATGGTGGCCGGGCAGGTGGAAGAGCAAAACATCACCACAGTCATTGCCAACATGGTGGTTGGGCAGGTGGAAAAGCAAAACATCACCACACTCATTGCCAACTTGGTGGTTGGGCGGGTGGGAAAGCAAAACAACATCACCACACTCATTGCCAACATGGTGGCTGGGAGGGTGGAAAATCAAAACATCACCACACTCACTGCACTTCATTTTTTCACTCAGGGGAGGCGCTGTGGTAGCTGAGCTCCAAAGCATGATTGGTAACTATAGCAAGAAGAGGCAGAACCTCTACGGACAGCATTGACAACATACGGAAGCATAACGCTGTTTGTTAAGATAACGATGTCCAAAGGACACCTTTGGATCCTCTCGGTATACACCCCCGTCCACCCCTTGGTCAGTTTTGAAAGCCCTCCAAAACGGTCATAAAACGAGTGCAACATGGCTTCTAACAACCCTTCCAGGAAGCGTGGAGCAGCATCAGCTCCCTCCACGCACGCTTCACTTGGGCTGTCTTAGGCATATAGGACATTGCACACATTCTGGACACCCAGTCCGTCATATAGGCCGCGCCAGACAGTTCCACTCGCGCAATAACGTTCCTCCGCGAGGCATGGAGTAGCATTAGACCCCCCACGCTTCGTTCTACTTAGCATCCATC